TATCCATTACGTTTAGACAGGCTAACATTTTCAACCGCCTATTACTTTTAGCTAATTATTTGTTTATTTATTAAGTTTAGCTAGCCATTTTAGGTTCTCGCTCGCTTACCAACTAGTATTCACTGGTCATTGTAAATTTACTAAAGATTGTAATCCAATTTGACTGTCTACTTTCCCTTTCACCACAAAGCTTTTGACATATCTAATCAAATCAGAAGTAGTTGAATTCAGTTGATTTAATTAGTTGAGTTTCCCTCTTACCCATTGGCAACTGCAAGAGGACCACTGACCTAGTGCAACATCAGGTAAGTGAGATATATCAGATTGCATATAATGCTAATTGTATTCGTTGACTGTCATGAGACAACTTCTCACGCCATTGCTTTGTACATTTTTAATGTAAACACAATGTCATCTGTTTCGACATCAAACAAACACAAAACAATGCCATGACAAAGTTTGACAGACACCACATGGATGCAGACAGACATGAAAACATGCATTCAGAAACCTACACATGACAGATGTTCATGCAAAACTGATACACTCTGCACGTATCGCAGGCACAAACACACGCTGTCTTTCTCAGACATGAAAACTTGCTTGAGGTCAATGCTGGAAGACGACTGGCTAGCTGTTCAGGAGGCTTTGATCTTTGTACTTGGCTGTGGCAAAGACAGCCAGCCAGAGCTGAGGCCCTGCGCTACCGGAAGCTTGTGGTCTGGGACGGCTCCATTTACTACTCTGTTCTGGTGCTAAATATACAATAATAAAAAGGCTGGCAGATTTATTTCAGACTGTGATACATTTCCTCTCCAGCGAGGGAAGAAAGTACTTAGCGAGAGACAGACGTCTCCAGATCACTGAAGAACATTAAGTGATAATTACAGAGAGCGATAGACAGAAAGAGAGAGACGAGGTTCCCCCTCTTACTTTTCTCTTCCTCTTCCTCCGTCACCACAGAGGAAAGTGGCGTCTCCAAACTGAAGAGGGGCGCCCGCTGTATTAGACTCCCAATGATTGGCTATGATTGCATTATCTGATCCCATGAGGGATAAAAGGACAGCAACACACACACACACACACACACACACACACTGTCACCACATGCCTGTATTTCATTGCTCAATAATCACTGCCTCCTCAGAAGTCAAACATGTTTTTTGAAAACGACTTTAGACATGTAGCCATAAAAGAAAATATGATTCAAACTCAAACATTGTCTTTATCTTTTTCAAGTCAGTTTTCTAAAGCACATAAGTACGCACACACATACACACACACTCATGCTCCCCTATGTACTCGGCTTCACCACCAGTCCACCGCACTCCTCTCAAAGCTCTTTGATCCCCGGTCGAGGGTCCTCTCCGCGGTGCCTCTGTCTGAATTCCAGAGATTCTGGGATAATTCAAACGTTTCACGGCACATAGTTGGTCCCCCCAGGAGACAGCGGCAGAGATGGAAAATGCCACCACGGTCCCCGGCTCTCTCTCCCTCCATTGTCCCTACTCTTTAATCAGGCCCTCTCTGTGGCTCGCGCTGCCACCGTGGTGTGTTGTCTCAGCCTGGGAAAATGCCGGCCTAAGTGGCTGTTATGTGCTGAGGCGCAGACCACAGGGACTCAGAGGGGTGCTGCTGGAGCCCTCTGTGCCAGCCATGGGTCTTAGAGTGGCTAGCACACACAATGAGTGAGGACTCAGATCTACATGTAGTCTTACATAACAGCCACTGCTACATCTATTTACTTTTTAGAATGAGCTTCGTTCCATAAATCATACGTCATCGTAATCATAGGCGTAAGCCTAACCCAGTGATAAATCATGAATATTATTTGTTCCTAAAGGGTTGCTGGGTGTAAATCAGCATTAAGCTGCTATACAGTTAGGGCAGTATTGTAGAAACTCCAGTGTGATGGCTTGGCTGTGAAAGGTCTGTGGAGAGGGAGTTTCCTGCCCTTATGTCAACACATGACCAAAACAAAGGCTTTGTGTTTCCCTGAGTCAGAGTGAGAAGAAGGTCAGGAACTAACGCTACCTCAGAGTTGAACCCATTTCAGCTTTGTTTTGGGACAGACTCGTGTTAGGGCTGGGCAGCAGGGTCAACCGGCGGTTGGCCCGCCTGTAGCCGGACACAACGCTCCATCAGGTCAAGTTTACAAGGACTGTCAAACGCTGCTGGTTTATACTAGTTTATATTTAGTGCTTATAAGCGTGAATCGACTTTTTATGAGGTGCCGTAAATTTCATTTTCAAAAGAGGGTGAGTATGGAGGCTCATGTACGCCTACTCTGTGGTTTCTCCAGGCCACCACGAAGCCTTTGTATTCACCCTGTTTGCCATGGGAAAATATCTGAAACAAATAAGTCGCCTGGTCGGCACCCATCAGTGTAAAAAACACTTCTAAGAGTTGTGGATTATGCTGAGAGGGTGTGGTGCAGTCCTTAAGGAACTACTTGTTTACCCTTGCTATGTCCAAAAATAAAAAAGGAACTATTTTCTCTCTTAGATTCAAGGCAAATAAACAAGTATTTTTGAGTAGACGTTGTGGGCAAGCGTGAGCCGTCTGTGGTTGTGCAGCAACATGCTGGACTTGGTAGCAGTTGTGCAACACTTTGAGGTTGTTCCCTCAAAACATTACCATCATCATCATTATCATCATTACTATTGATGAGCTTCTGCAATGGAAAACGGTAGACATAACTCAATATTTTTTATAGTTTTTATAGTTTTTTTTAATAGTCAATTTATAGTAGTTAAAACAAGACTATGAGACATTTAAATGTACAAAAAGTAAATTCTTAAATAGTGTACCAAAGCCATGTTGTTACTTTGGTTTTGGCAGCTAAAGCCTACTTTTTCTAAAATGGTCAGGTAAGACCATTTTCCGGATGTGCCACGTAAGAGATACCATCATATGTGTGTCCCTAAGCAACAAGGTGTGAACAAAGGTTCATACGAAAAACAAAGACATCAATGACATACTCTAAAGCAGTAGGTGGCAGTAGTGAATCACTTCATAGTCTGCCAGCCACCATAAAACATAAAAAGAACAAAATGAAGGTTACCACAACAAACATGTTGGGGGAAATGGAAGAGCCACCACCTACCAGAGCAAAGTACAACTACGAAGAAAAGAGTAAGACTGGCAGAGGGTCAACAGGCCAGAAACAGAAAGTGAGAAACCGTGGAGCAAGACAAGAATAACCCTTGGTCCAACAATAACAGGATGAAAAGACTCAAAGCAATAACTGGGTTTCAGAATAGACTCAGAGATGGCATCTGCTTTACTAGACTGCTAACGCAACTAACACTGGTTTTTATTATGCGCTGATTACCGTGCTGAAGTGGCAGTTTGGTGTGGAAATTAGATTTTTCTCTCATATCTGTCCGTGGCTGCAATTTAATATCCTACTGTTTGAATGCTCCAAAAAGTAAACTAATGTTTGAGTTTTATTCAGTGAAAGCAAACATAACACAAAGTTACACAAACCAACTCTCAGTCAAACATGAACGGGTTTATTTTTTATGATAATGTTAGCACTAATACCACATTTATTTATCAGACTTTCTGGTGAATCGTGTAATTCATTGGTACAGTCGTTCGTTAGCTTGACATCTCGTCCACATGTAACCTGGCTGGTGATCAACAGAGAAAAGTTCCAGACAACCAGCCCTCAGACTGTTTTTGAATCTTAGCTGGTCATCAACAGAGCAAAGCCACATAATAGCGGCGACTAGACTGTATCAACATGTGACTTACCGTCTCACATGGGTGGGTAAGTCACTAGCTGTATGTGGCCGTGGCTTGAGTTGTCACCCCTTGCGGTCAGGGAGGCTGCTGTTGCCGCTACTCAACAAAAGTTCCACTGTCTCACTTTAAAGTGAAGAAAAATTATTTATATATTATATTTTTTATTATTTTAAACTGCTCTGAAGTGGAAAAAATGTCACATGAGACAAGTGTTACAATTTTAGGAAGTCTGTATAATGTCTTTTTTTTATCACATCACAAATAAATGCAGTATTTAATATTTCTCCACTCTAAATGGATCTCTTCTCTATTCTTATATCTTCTAAATTAATCTGTCTCTATGGTGAAAATGTAATTTTTGTCAAGTCCAGGTGGACACCTGTCAATGTGGTTCAACTGAAGGTTATTTTGGAGGTTAATTTCTACATGTTTGTCCCTGTTATAGAGATGCACAGTGGGATTACAGCAGTGTGACTGCACTCAGCCACCTCCAAATAGTGCTTGTGTAACTTTTGTTATTTTATGCCTTAATTTTTGTTTTGTTGATCACAGTTGAGTGGAACAGCATCTAAAATAATGTCTCACATCAATTATGTGATGCACAGTTTTTAAACTATCTTTGAATTTAATTAATTTTCATCAGTGTCTCGCAACCACCAACTAAGGAACAACCACCCCAGAGGACAAGAGTACCCACAGGAGAATGAGACAGGGCTAAAAATATTATTCTGCAGCAAATGAAAGCTGGCACTATGACATTTAGTGAATACTTCATAAGATAGAAGTCTATGTTAAAATTGGTTTTAACATAGACTTGACTATGTCAAAATTGGTTTCAAATTTAAATTAATTAATCAGTCAATGTGGTGTACAATCAATATTGACATGTAGAAGGGTTATGCCATGATTTCAAAGAACAGACATCATATCAAAAATACTTTAATAGTCCTATAAAAGTATTCTTGTTGAAAATCAACAAATTGGTTTCATAACACTGTCATAAGTCAGTAATTCACATAAGAAATCTGCTGATTGCTGAAGAGCACTTTGACACGAAAGATCTTACTTGGTATCAAACCTAGTTTACCAAAAAGAACAGCACAGGGTAAGAAGAAGGTGGGCTGTAGAATGAGGACCACAACAGGGTAAAATGACATGGTGTTACACTCTCTTGTACAGTAGGTGGCGATATGCACCTCAGGGCTATTTGCAATCCACCAGTAAACTTTGAGAAGAAGAAGAAAGCGGAAGTTGTTTGCTAACGTCAACACAGGACAATGACCCTTGTTAATCCCTATTTTTGTGCTGTAATAAAGGTTTTGTGACGTTCTCACGCGTAATTTTACAGGTGAGACCATAATATGTCTTTTTTTAACCTCACTGTGTATCAATATTCTTCGTAAAGTAGAGTGTGTGTAATTAGTCATCTGTTTTCAATATATAACTAACGCTAGCTACTCGGCGCTACCAACACAAGCTAGCATGTAAGTAAACAAAGTAGGGATGTTTAGTTGTAGCCTCCTCTTTTTACTACCGCTGTCAACCATATGCTTATTTGTCTGAACTCTGCATATTTAAGTCTCGGCAACCTAAAAGACAATAAATGTTTTATCATATTCAACGTTGCTTAACCTCAGTGATTAAAACACAACAATTAGCCTGTACCATACTCCATTGCCTCCTAAACAATACATTTGAAGTCAAGTGTCACACAAGATTATAGTGTGTAGTTAATTTTAAATGAAAGATATAAACAGAACCTAAAAGTCCAATATCAACATGTTCTTCCCTGTTTAAAGTGACACACCCTTCTCTCTCCTCTCTCTGTCAGGGTTTACTGGGGTGTAGACATGGAAGTGCCCTGCTACCTACCAAAACTGCTGTTTGAGCTCAATGAACAGCGTAAGCGGGACTTCTTCTGTGACTGCAGCATCCTTGTCGAGGGCCGTGTCTTCAAGGCCCATCGTAATGTGTTGTTTGCTGGGAGTGGATATTTCCGGGCTCTTCTGGTTCACTATCTGCAGGTGAGAGAAGCTGACATCAGCGCCTTCGACAGTTTTATTTTCCTTGGTAGTGGGGGGAAAAGTGTTGGGCATGACTTCTTAGAAACAAATGTCATGAATTGGTGAAGATTGAGGAGAAGAAGAACTTTTATGCCTTGAATTATTAAATAAGCAGATGATTTTCTGTTAAAACAGCTAACAAATCAGGCCCTGATTTTGTGTATAATATATCTCTTCTCAGGACAGTGGCCAACGCTACAGCACCGCATCGCTGGATATTGTAACAGCTGATGCTTTCTCAATTATCCTGGACTTCCTCTACTCTGGCCGTTTGGCCCTAAACAGAAGCAACGTCATTGAGGTAATGTCAGCAGCCAGCTACCTGCAGATGACAGATCTGGTGAACTTCTGTAAAGGATACATCCGCTCATCTTTGGAAATATGCAACAAGGAGAAGGAGAGGAACACAGAGAAGGAGGACCAGGCACAGGAAGGAGGGATGGGTCCTGCAGACAGCGGCTCTTCAGCAGTGGCAATCTCCAGTGGTTTGGTGGCTGCAGAGCCTCGTTCACAGGTTGCAGAGGCGGATAGAGGGTCAGGTCTAGGTCCGGAGTCTGTGACATCAGCTAGAACCCCCTTGTCTATCCCTGTTGCCACCCCTCCAGGCACCAGCAGAGACATTGACAGCGACTATCATTCCAGGGAGGAGTTTACATCTGGGAGTGAAGGACAGAAGGGACACATGGATCAGACAAACCTCTCATCCTCCTCATCCTCTACTTTGACTCCAGAGTTAGTGAATCCCAAGATAGAGTACGACCCTGATGAGGAGCTTATGGAGTCCCCTGACACCAAAGACCTTGCCTCGTATTCTGGGCCCTCTCTGCATAATTCTCATCATAGCAGGCTACTTCCCCCTAGTCCCTCTCCCTCCAACGAACGCTCCCCCCTGGGATACAGCCCTTCTTTTAATGCCCGGCAGCTGATGGAGATGCTGGCTAGAGGTGAAGGCCCCAGTCCTCTGGGGGAAAGAGTGGGGCAGCGCTTTAACCAAGGACTTGGTAGCAGCACAGGTGGAGGCAGAATGGATGAAAGTTTGGGATTTGTGGGATCATCTATCATGGAGATCCAGTCTGACTGGCTTGGAGAGGACACAGGTAAATGGCCTACGGTGACGCATTTTCCAGAAGGCTTAAAAAAAACATCTTTTAAACTTACACTGTTGCATTCACTAAATTCCCAAGCGGAAAAGTAAGGCTACACATTTTGCAGCATTGTCCTAGTTGGGTAGCTTTGAACAGTTTGCTTCTCTCTCCCCCTGCAGGCGATGGCTTGGTAGTGCCAGTGAAACTCCACAAGTGCCCATTCTGCCCGTACACTGCCAAGCAGAAGGGCATCATGAAGAGACACATTCGCTGTCACACAGGAGAGAGGCCCTTCCCTTGTCCCATGTGTGGCAAGAGGTTCACAAGACAGGAGCATCTTCGCAGCCATGCCCTCAGTGTAAGAACTCAGTACAGTAAGAACTCACAGTGTAGCTGTGACTGCAGAAAAATCTGAAAAAAATTATGTTACATCATCTTCAGCTTGGTTTTGATTCATAGGCGAAATTACAAGTTGTATTACAATGTGAGCAACCATTACTTTAAATTACTGAGGAATGAAGAAAAAGATGTGACTGTTTTCCAGATGTGAATCTTTGAAGTTATTTAAGAAGAGCAGGGCATTTATGGATAAGAGTAATTATGCTCAGTGAACCTATCCCAGGTTAATTAAAGGTTTTAAAAAACAAACATATTTGTTGTTGTTCAACCACAATAACATTTATATTGGCGGCAGTTGTACAGAAAATGAATTCACTTGTTAAAGATTTAAAATGTGTTCTTGAAAAGAATTGTTCAGTGTTTAATTGATATTTAAGATATAATCGTTTGTACAAAACTTTAAGCCAGTAATTGCTATCAGTTCACTGTAAACACTAATTACCCATCTCACTCTTTAATTGAGTGCAGTTAAATTCAGTTCTTTCTTCCCTGTTGTTTGTGTTTTATGTGGAATGAAATAAGCACAATAAGAGCAGTAAATCTTTTGTTTCCTGTATTGTTATTCTTCACTTACTGTATAATAATCTAAAAGTTATTGTTGCCTCTCCAAAATCATTCACATACAGCTGTCTTTCTCTCTGTGTTGGCCATCGGCAGGTCCACAGACACTACTGGCCAGTGTCTTGTAAGAGCTGCAGGCGAACCTTCACTGGATCCAGTGTTTCACCAGGACTCAGACGCTTTGGCATTTGCGACAGCTGCAACTGCGTGACCACCACTCATGATGATTCTGCCCCTGTTCACCCTGCCAGCCAACCAGAGCCCATGGAACGTGCAGATGGGGGTACAGATTGGTCCAGTTTTATGGACGACGTGGATGAGGTGGAGGTTGGCAGAGTGGAAGACTTGGTAGAGAAACAGATGCTCGAAAGGCAGCTGGCTGTCTGCACTGATGTAGGTCACACACTGTGAATCTGTAGCCCACTGTACTCGGTAAAGAAAACCACCACTTACACACTGTGGCCATACTATTATTGATGCTAAATTATTACTGTAAAATGAATTTATTTGTTGATTTGTTTGTAACCACAGAATGATTCCTTTTAACTGTTGGAGATAATAGTGCCCCTGTGATTTGCTTGACAGCAAATAGATTCAGTGTTGTTTGTCTGTTTGTTTGCTTGTTTGTTTGTTTGTTTTTTTAAATTCATAAACGTGGCCTTTATTTGCCTGCCCATCTTTGCACAGTTGATGAATCCAAATTTGCCTGTATGCTTTGTACATAAAGAGAATGTTGCTGTCAAAACTGTAGTATGTTATGATTACAGTTTATTCCAGATTACAGGTCATAGAAATAATGAGCTTTGTGGTTGTGATTGGGCCACTGTGGATATTGTTAAAATAAATGTGTCGTATGTATAACAGTGTACATTTCTGTGTATTCATGTGCATTTGCCAGTCAGAGATTTGTGAATCTCGAGGCAAGTTGATTTCCCTGCTGCTTGACATCCAGTAGATTTGCATCAGGTGATGAACCAGTATTGTGACACAAAAAGTGTTGTTTGACGCCCTCTAGTGGTTGAACCGCCAACAGAGGAAAAATTCTACCCACTCTCACTCCGTTTGCGCGTTCCCGTGGAGCATGGGAGTGTTTTTTTAATTAATTAATCTATTCATTCAGATAATAATTTTCTTTTCACAAGCTCACTATGCCATGGGTCATGTCATGTCCTTGCACATACACTTAAGCCTACATTTTTGTCATTGCTGTGAATCAGATGATGTTTTACATTTGAACATTATTTATGAGCATTTATTTAATTATATAACCTTTCAGAGGTATTGTGTGTAGCAACGAATTTCCTGTTTCCACTGGAGAAAGGTGAGGGCGTCCCATACCTTTCAGGTGTATTTATACCCTCCCACTTAGGTAAGACAGCCTCAAAAGCCGCGAGGGTGACTCTACAAAGTTACACTGTTACTGAGTGGGAGGGTGTAGGGACCGGATTGGAAATTGGGTTTTAAATACACTACCAGTTTCCCTGTACCCAACAGCATATGGATGGTACAGGTAGCCTGCATGCTGAAGACATAGGTAGGCTCACCTGAGGCGTCTGACAAGGAGCTGCAAGCAAGATTTTCTAAATCGCCATTGAACTATAACCTTCCTCACAAGTAATCATGTTACTTCAAATGCGACCTTCATACATTATTTCACTACTAAGTGTAATTGCTCTTATTTTGATTGGACCTGGATGCGGAAAGCGCTACGCACCAAACTGGGACAGTCTGGATGCAAGACCCCTGCCCCAGTGGTTCGACGAGGCGAAGGTCGGGATTTTCGTCCACTGGGGGGTCTTCTCGGTCCCCGGCTTCGGCCAGTATAGTGAGTGGTTCTGGTACTGGTGGCAGTCCGCAAAGCGCGAAGAGTTTGTTGAGTTTATGCAGAAAAACTACCCGCCGGGTTTTAAATACGCGGATTTTGCGACAGAGTTTCACGCGGAATTCTTCAACCCGGATACATGGGCAGAAATATTCAAAGCATCTGGTGCCAGGTATGGTCCTCATCTCAATCTCTTCCTGGTAGCCTACCAACACATTGACTTTGTGCAAAAAAATGTGCATAAACCTGCTGTATTCCCTTCCCATGTGAGCAAGGGCGTAGGTTTGGTCTCAACATTGGTAGGAACGCCACAACCCCGCCACCCCTTCAAAAGGTAGAGATTGGCTTTTAAATGCCGTCAACCAAACGTTTTATTAACATTTAAGATCTGAGTTCGCATTCAGGAATGCCCATACGCAAATGTGATATATATATAAAAAATGACATTTGAAACCTGTTAGAAATTGGAACAATATCGACAATCGACAATATCGTCTAGCTAAAAGAAACATGTATTTTAGTATGTCTGTTTATATTATAAACATATGTAACATAAATATTTATCCACCCCAAAGCTTGTCAGTACATGTTCATATTGTATAGATAGATAGATAGATAGATAAATAGATGAATAGATTTAATAAATAAAAATAAGTAAAACATATATTTTGATAAAACATACTAAGACATAAAAAGTCATAGTATACTAAGTCATAAAAAAGTCATACTATAGTAAGGTTTAAAAAAACTAATAGTATAGTAAGATATAAAAAGTTATAGTACAGGAAGGCATAAAAAAGTCATATTTAGTAAGGCGCAAAAAGTCATATTATATTGTGGCATAAAATGTCAAAAAAAAGCATAGTACAGTAAGGCATAAAACGTCAAATAATGTCATAGTATAGTAAGGCATAAAAATGTGACAAAAAACATTATAGTATAGTGAGGCATAAAATATAAAAAAAAGTCATAGTATAGTAAGGCATAAAACATCAATAAACATCATATTATAGTAAGGCATAAAAACGTCAAATAATGTCATAGTATAGTAAGTCATAAAACGTCATAGAATAGTAAGTCATAAAACGTCAAAAAACGTCATAATATAGTAAGGCATAAAAATGTAAAAAAAAGATCATAGTATATTAAGGCATAAGATGTAAAAAAAAAAGTCATAGTATAGTAAGGCATAAAATGTCATAGTAGAGTAAGTCATAAAACGTCAAAAAACGTCATAATATAGTAAGGCATAAAAATGTAAAAAAAAGATCATAGTATATTAAGGCATAAGATGTAAAAAAAAAAGTCATAGTATAGTAAGGCATAAAATGTCATAGTAGAGTAAGTCATAAAACGTCAAAAAACGTCATAATATAGTAAGGCATAAAAATGTAAAAAAAAGATCATAGTATATTAAGGCATAAGATGTAAAAAAAAAAGTCATAGTATAGTAAGGCATAAAACATCAATAAACATCATATTATAGTAAGGCATAAAAACGTCAAATAACGTCATAGTATAGTAAGTCATAAAACGTCAAAAAACATCATACTATAGTAGGGCATAAAAATGTAAAAGAAACATCATAGTATAGTAAGGCATAAAATATCATAGTATAGTAAAGCATAAAATTTAAAAAAATGTCATAGTATAGTAAGGCATAAAAATGAAAAAAACACGTCATAATATAGTAAGGCATAAAATGTAAAAAAAGTCATAGTATAGTAAGGCATAAAATGTCATAGTATAGTAAGTCATAAAACGTCAAAAAATGTCATAGTTTAGTAAGGCATAAAAATGTAAAAAAAACATAATAGTATAGTAAGGCATAGAATATCATAGTATAGTAAGGCATAAAACGTCAAAAAATGTCATAATATAGTAAGGCATAAAAATGTAAAAAAAACATCATAGTATAGTAAGGCATAAAATATCATAGTATAGTAAGGCATAAAACGTCAAAAAACATCATAGTATAGTAAGGCATAAAATGTCAAAAAACGTCATAGTATAGTAAGGCATAAAAACGACATAGTATAGTAAGGCATAAAATGTCAAAAAAAGTCATAGTATAGCAAGACATAAAATGTCATAGTATAGTAAGGCATAAAATGTAAAAAAAAGTCACAGTATAGTAAGGCATAAAATGTAAAAAAAAAAGTCATAGTATAGTAAGGCATATAATATCATACTATAGTAAGTCATAAAACGTCAAAAAACGTCATAATATAGTAAGGCATAAAAATGTGAAAAAAAGGTCATAGTATAGTAAGGCATAGAATATCATAGTATAGTAAGGCATAAAATGTCAAAAAAAGTCACAGTATAGTAAGGCATAAAATGTCATAGTATAGTAAGGCATAAAATGTAAAAAAAAAAGTCATAGTATAGTAAGGCATAAAATGTCATAGTATAGTAAGTCATAAAACGTCAAAAAACATCATACTATAGTAGGGCATAAAAATGTAAAAGAAACATCATAGTATAGTAAGGCATAAAATATCATAGTATAGTAAAGCATAAAATTTAAAAAAATGTCATAGTATAGTAAGGCATAAAAATGAAAAAAACACGTCATAATATAGTAAGGCATAAAATGTAAAAAAAGTCATAGTATAGTAAGGCATAAAATGTCATAGTATAGTAAGGCATAAAAATGAAAAAAACACGTCATAATATAGTAAGGCATAAAAATGAAAAAAACACGTCATAATATAGTAAGGCATAAAAATGAAAAAAACACGTCATAATATAGTAAGGCATAAAAATGAAAAAAACACGTCATAATATAGTAAGGCATAAAAATGAAAAAAACACGTCATAATATAGTAAGGCATAAAAATGAAAAAAACACGTCATAATATAGTAAGGCATAAAAATGAAAAAAACACGTCATAATATAGTAAGGCATAAAAATGAAAAAAACACGTCATAATATAGTAAGGCATAAAAATGAAAAAAACACGTCATAATATAGTAAGGCATAAAAATGAAAAAAACACGTCATAATATAGTAAGGCATAAAAATGAAAAAAACACGTCATAATATAGTAAGGCATAAAAATGAAAAAAACACGTCATAATATAGTAAGGCATAAAAATGAAAAAAACACGTCATAATATAGTAAGGCATAAAAATGAAAAAAACACGTCATAATATAGTAAGGCATAAAAATGAAAAAAACACGTCATAATATAGTAAGGCATAAAAATGAAAAAAACACGTCATAATATAGTAAGGCATAAAAATGAAAAAAACACGTCATAATATAGTAAGGCATAAAAATGAAAAAAACACGTCATAATATAGTAAGGCATAAAAATGAAAAAAACACGTCATAATATAGTAAGGCATAAAAATGAAAAAAACACGTCATAATATAGTAAGGCATAAAAATGAAAAAAACACGTCATAATATAGTAAGGCATAAAAATGAAAAAAACACGTCATAATATAGTAAGGCATAAAAATGAAAAAAACACGTCATAATATAGTAAGGCATAAAAATGAAAAAAACACGTCATAATATAGTAAGGCATAAAAATGAAAAAAACACGTCATAATATAGTAAGGCATAAAAATGAAAAAAACACGTCATAATATAGTAAGGCATAAAAATGAAAAAAACACGTCATAATATAGTAAGGCATAAAAATGAAAAAAACACGTCATAATATAGTAAGGCATAAAAATGAAAAAAACACGTCATAATATAGTAAGGCATAAAAATGAAAAAAACACGTCATAATATAGTAAGGCATAAAAATGAAAAAAACACGTCATAATATAGTAAGGCATAAAAATGAAAAAAACACGTCATAATATAGTAAGGCATAAAAATGAAAAAAACACGTCATAATATAGTAAGGCATAAAAATGAAAAAAACACGTCATAATATAGTAAGGCATAAAAATGTAAAAAAAACATAATAGTATAGTGAGGCATAAAAATGCCATAGTATAGGAAGGCATAAAATGTCATAGTATAGTAAGGCATAAAATGTAAAAAAAATGTCATACAATAGTAAGGCATAAGAACGTCAAATAATGTCATAGTATAGTAAGTCATAAAACGTCAAAAAACGTCATACTATAGTAAGGCATAAAAATGTGAAAAAAAGGTCATAGTATAGTAAGGCATAAATGTCCATAGTATCGTAAG